AGCATGAAGGAATGCCAGCAGATCACTGAATCCCATGTGGGAGAACAACTACATGCAGCTCATGTAAAACTCAGTTTTCTCTAACTTCCCTTCTATGGGTAAACTCCTCCTCCCAGGAGAGTAAAAAGTAGTTGTGAAAAAGTGCAGAACCATTGGCACTTGAGAGGGATTCCTAGAGAAAAACAAACATTCAGAGAAGGAAGAAGCTCTTTTTGCTGTATCAACACCAGAGGAAAAAAGAAGCTGACAGCAGAAAGGACTCCTGTAGGCTGAGGAGAAGCCATGTAGATGATGTGTGATCTTTGAGTTCTTGAAGCACTGTGACTTGTGTTCAACAATCCTTCAGAAGAGAACTTGACCAAAAAAAATAAAAAAATAAAAAAATTATTGTTTCAGCTAAGCCAGGAATGGCTGGATTTGGAACACTTTGCAAAAAGCTCAGGAGTCTATTATTCCTATGGTCACAGACCCATGATGAACATCCAGAGTTCAAGTTCTATGAATGGGTGCTTAAGTTACAAGGGTCTCTCCAGAGTAGGGTTAGTCTTTGCAGAGTGAGGGATAGCTGGACCAGAAGATCCCACTTCACTGAAGAGGTAAGAGAAGTTACACCTGCAAGAAGATTGCGAAAGAGGTGCTGCTGAAATTCTTAAGACTTTAAAAATATGAAAGACAGGCCACAGCTGAGTGAAGGAAACTCAACAGCTATACCACAATATCAAGCTTCTTGATGAAACTTTCCCCAGTACTAATTTTACTTGTGGCTTTATTACAAAACAGACCAAAGACAAACTCAGTGACACAACAGAGCTGCCCACAAGCATGACCATGACTTTGAGAGCAGGAACTGTAATTGATTGTGCCTCTTGGATTGATTAAACTTTGAGGCACCTTAATCAGCAGTAAACCAAAAGGTTTTAAAATTTCATGTTATATACAAGAAACACCTGTTTTTTTGAGTTGTCTCCCCAGCACACCTTGAAACAGATACAACATGCTTGGGCTGTTCACCTCTACATCTGCTGCAAGAGATGTTAAAACTGTGTTTGTGGATCAGGCAGCTCAGTCAATCTGAATGATCAAGGCTGCCAAGGGAATGCCATAAATCTGTAAAATAATCCTCCTTGAGGTTGGAGTTTATCAGCTTCAGGTTTGCCTGAACTAAGCCTCACCTCTTGCATCGTCTGACAGCTCACTACAGACTATGAGCCTCAGAACACCAAGACATAAATAACTCTTTCCAAAATCAATGTTATCTACATATTTGAGCCAACCATGTACTTCTGAAGTTGGGAAGGGAAGGGATTAGCTTTTTCTTATGCCAAGAGTTTGCCTTGCATTGAGGAAGATAGCACAAGTCCAATAAATTATGTGCTTGGTGCAGAGCCAGCCATGTGGAAGTTCAGGCTCAACTCTATTGGTATTCACTCAAGGGAGTAACTCATGTCAAAGCCCAGTGACCTGCAATCCAAATAAAACAAGAAAGAAAGTTTGCCCTTCAGTTTGTGTATGCATTCATAACTCATACAGCCAGCATTCTCCTTCTTCACATTGGGAACTCATTTCTAAGCTGACACCTGCGGCAGTTTCAACTTGCAGTGATATTTCATAGCTAGGTTATTATAACCCTTGAAATGGAAATATGGATGGTCATTAACAAAACCAGCACAAGTGTAGCCATGCAAAGGAGCATTAGAAACCATGCAAAGTGGGAGAAGTACCTTGATATAAAAAGCAACTCTTTCCACAGTATTCTGAGTTCTGGGGTGGGGAGGGAATGGACTTACTCAACAGAAATCATTTCTAGTACCATCTTCAGGAGTTTGACTTTACAGTTTTGCAATGGATTCCCAAATCCTTTACTTGACATGCTTTCATGGACAGTGCCACATATTACATTTTCCATCCATAGGGATGCCATGATGTCATCAAACAATTCTGTATACCTCTGGATCCCTCATTGAAGCTTGAGTCACATAAAGTCCCATCCCTGATGACACCAGCTTTTAGCAGCTTTTACTTTGTAAATAATTGCTCTATTCACAACATATAGCTCGTAAAATTGGGGGTGGAGTTATTTTAAATACCAGCCAATATTCAGCAGTACTCTTATTATATTTGCATTAACAAGGTAATTAACCTATTTCTACTTTTAAATCACACTTTACCAGTCTTACCTATCTGATGCAGGATCTCAAGTTTGTTTGTTGTCAAAGTAAACCTCAGAAACTCAGGTAATCAAGTTCCCACAGCACTGGATATAGCTGAGGAGCACTGCTTTACAGAGACGATTTTAGGGCATCATTCTGGTCTATTATACAATGCAGACTGTCAGGACTTCAGAAATTAAATCAACAAGAGAAAACACTAAGGCTTAAGTAGATTCTTAAAGTTAATTCAATACACAAAAAGATGTCCTAGACATGAACTTTCATACACAAGTTGAATCTTTTACATTGCAGAAAGATTACAAATCTTTGAAACACATCTATCTTTAGTGGTTTATACACAGTAATAATCACAGATAAACAGCTGTAATGAATTAGTGATCCTATAACAACAACGTCCCAATGACATTGAACATTATTTATAATAGAGTGATATAACCAGATCATTTGGTTACTATCTGCAACATCATTTCTGTACTTTATACCCCTCTTGGAACACAAATAGGCTTTATGAGACTATAAGTTTGTTTGGTACATTCCAGAGCCTGATTTGCAATATGCAGAACACCCACATGCTTTACTATGGTCCAGAGGGATGCATAATTCCTTGCAAGATTCACCCTTTAGTTTCTATTTGGCAATGAAGCCATCACCTTATTAGAAGGGCAAGCAATGAAAAAAAGCATAAGAAGCCAAAAAAACCAAAGTCTCTGCCATCTTCAGTGACCCATTTCTCTAATTTATTCATTCTCTATCTTCCTAATTCTACTGCCCATAGGAAATTACAAAACCAATTTATCAGTCAATACCTCAATGACTTCTGCAGCAGCAAAGAGCCTACTGTCAGCAAAGAGCCTACTGTCAGCAGGGGCTGTACCTCTCCAGGTATAAACTGTTGTTTTCCAATGATTTCAAGGCCAGAGAGCACCTATGCTTCTGAAGACGATGTTTCTTAAACTAAGAGCTGAAGCGTTGACTCCTTACCGTCAGTCACAGTTGAGTTGTGTTTCTGAACATGGACTCCTGGTTGCTGAGTTCACTTTGCTGGTTGGTCTCACTGAACACTGCTGTTTCTCAGATTCCCTCCCACTATGGATCTGATCAACCTGCAGAGTAACATCACATCATCCCAGCTTTCTGCTTGTGAGTGAATATCTCCAGCATGCACATAAGGAGGAAGCCTTTGACCTGGGCCTCTCACAACTCTCACTTTTTTGCAGTCAGCTTTATAACAAACACTTGTGTCACCCTGGAAGAGACTCACAATCCTCTGAAAGATAAAGGAAATTACCAAATGACAAGGTTTGATTGCTACCTGATGTGCAACAGATTATTTTGACATGAGCAGTTAATCCCTCAGGCCACTTGTTACATCTCTTAAAACGTTACAGCCCCAGTTGTCCCTCAGCTAATGTCATAAAGCCATTGGTAGAAATCATAAGCTTGAGTACAGGGGTGTGGGTACAACCAGAAAGGCAGAGGAATCCAATCCAGCCTTGCATATCAGGGCTGTATTAACAAGGCTTGTTTTCAAGAGATCAAAGGACATTGATCCTTCTGACAGATCAGTCCTAGAGAGGAGGAGGAGGATGATTTTATTAAATTGGGTAAATGAGACAAAATAGACAGCAGTAGAAGTCCTGTTTGCTTTTCTCTGCCTAAATTCCTCATTGTTTTCAAGCATTTGGAGACTTACATTACAGTTCAAGGTCTCCTGTTCTCCACGTGGCTTTTCCACAGGCCATTCTTGTGCAGCCAGCTTCTTTCAATCACAGCTGAAACTGAAATGGAGCCTTTTACTAAAAGCCTGTTTCTCTGGGGATCTTTCTTGCTCAAATAGGTTTGTATCTAAGCCTCCTGTTTACCTGTGCTAATAAGAGTTCAGGTCAGAAGTGCACTGAACTTCAAAAAAATAACAAGAAATTATTCTCCTAAGGGAGTGTTTATGTGGCATTTGTAGTTTGTACTTTTACCCTTCATATTCCGCTCTTGGATTTATTAAGAAACAGTGCTCTGTTCTGAGATGTATCACTTCTGAATCATTTCAATCAACTATCATAACTGTAACATCCTTGGAGCTCACAGGCACAGTGAGGGACTCTGAAACAATTGTGACCCTTTTTTTTCCTAAATGATGGCAAATGGGTAGACCAGTTTGCCAAAGTGCACCTTGTAGGATGGAACTCCACATCCTCCAGTGGGGATGAGACTCTAAATGAATTCAGATGTGGTAGCAATATGGCTAATTTAGTAACCATAACAACCATAATCCTCACTGCAGGGCTCTGAAAAACTAATCTTCCTGCAGTTTCTCCCTAAAAACACTTTAGCTGTCAGTGTTCCTTCAACACCAGTAAAATGGAAAGACTGAAATTAAACTTATCCTAAAACTTTGCTACCCTCGGAGTTAAAATATGTAAGTTGCTTCATTATACCCTCCTTGAGTGCCTGTATAATGTCACCAAAGGAGAATTAAAATAGGTGTCTCAAAATAGACATCAGATTCTAGTTATTCAGATTATACTTGACACAATCCAGTTCTAAATCATGATGATAAGCACACTGGACTCATGTTTGAACATCTAGCTCAAAGCTGTTCTTCAGTGATCCTAATAACGAAAAAAAAAAAAAATTATTGGGACCCTGACAATGTGTTGAAGCAGTAATTTAGCTGTTTCCATTAGTTTGAAATTTATTTTCAGAATTTCATTCTGCCAGAAACTGTCCCATTTTATCAAATGCATGCAATGTGTTGAAGCAGTAATTTAGCTGTTTCCATTAGTTTGAAATTTATTTTCAGAATTTCATTCTGCCAGAAACTGTCCCATTTTATCAAATGCATGAGATACCCATTAAAGAGAAAATCCACTTTCCAGCCTGTTCCATTAAGCAACCTGATTGTGCAGAGTATATTCTTTGAGTCCATATGACTGCATGTTTCCAGTAGGTCCAAATCTGTAGGTCGCTGAGTGCTGGACATCACACCACTACTACACTCATCTCTGCTAGCTGGATCACAGTCTTCTACAGCTGCTGTTGGCAAGACCTGGAGAATCCCTTAATATTCACAAAACTCAGTTTGCACCTATTTAAAAAGAAAAGTAAAAGTCACTCTGGCACACACGTAAAGGGAGGATAAACCTTATCAGCTGTTAAATACATCACCTTCCTCACCAATTACTAGCAGCTAAGATTGCCATTTCTGCCTTCAAAGGGCAGGGATCTTTATTTGAATAAATACTAAGCAGCCAACCCGCTGCACTCCTCACTTGCTATAAGTAGTAATCTTTGTCTTTTTTTACTGCATGCAGAGAGAACTGGAGTCTTTTCAGATGCCTTCTTTTTATCAGACTGAGCAGTCTAATTGTCTTCTGGGTGCTCATGCGTACCTTATAGGTCATAGGCATAACGCACTCGCGTTGCCGTGCATCGGTGGGCCAAGAACACTCTCAAGGGAAGTAATCAACACTCAGAGAGCTTCTCAGATGATAACAGCAGAGATCAACAACTCATGCTAAGAGGCGTGAAAATCATAATAGTTTTGCAATAAATTTCTCTGTCTGCAGAAAACAAAGGACAAATAACACCTTATAATATTTTTGCTACTTTGAAAATAAGGACGTGCACGTACTGTTGATGCTGTGACGGAGACCGGTTCCTTCATGAAACCTGATGTGAAGAGGAAAGGCAATCCTCATCTCTGTAGAAAAGTTGTTTAGAGTTATTAAAATATTTAAATATTCAAAATATTAAAATTCTGCATCACTGTTTAAAAATAAATTCTGGGCTCTTCTTCACTATTGAGGGGGAAGAAGCAATGGTGCAGCACTCAGTGGGATCACTGCACTATTTTTAGCACCCTATCCCCATATAGCTTCTTGAATTTGGGTCTGACCAAGCCACAGCACACTGGTGACACCCACTCTTTACCTCCAGCCCCTAGATTCTTCTCTGTGCTCCAGCAGGTGCCCCTGAGCTGGTTATACAACCAGTCCCAGGGCCACTAAGGAGCTCAGCTGGCTTAGTGGGTCTTCTCTTCAGAGCTTGTTAGCCAACACAGAAGAGGTACTCCACCAGAGGTGATGAGGCAGCTGCCCCAGTGGGGGTGCACACTAAGCAGCTGGGGACAATATCGTCCTCAGCCATCAACACTGCACCTGGATGGGAACAGGGTTAAGCACAGCCTGGCACATCTTTGCTTGCCATCACTAGAGATCAGTGGAATTTCACACTTTCTCAAGGTCACCATGATTAAATCAGCCTGAGAGACATATGCTGAGGGTGAATCTGAAGACATGGGGTTCTCCTTAGAAATTCGGCACTTAGAATAACACAAGTGAAAAACCTGTGATTTCACTGCTCCCATAACGCTTTATTCTGACTGGTCATTGCGGGGGGAGTGGACTAAATGACATTTAAAGGTCCCTTCCAACGCAAACTATTCTACAATTCTACTTGAGGTGTCCTATAATATTGTAGCAATTTGAAAATGTGCCTAAGTCTGTCTTCTGCTCATCAGTGTGAGGTTACTGGGGGGCACATGCATGCCACAGCAGATTATATACCAGGACATGCTATTTTGAGAAGAAAAAGGGAAGCTGATGAAGACACATATTTTCCCTCGACTAGGCAATAAACCATTCTTCTATTTGCATTACATTTTGTTATGTACATTTTGTACATGAACGTCATCTGTAATTTGACTAATCTTTTGTGTTAAAACCAAAGGGAGCCACTATATTATGTTATATTACTACCATTTTCCTCACAGGAATGAATCATATTTCTTTACAGCCACCAGGACACATTTTCACCTAGGAACACACAGTAACTGCTAGTTTCTGAATGCTAAAGAGCAGAGAGCTGGCTGTGGAATTATGTGGCTACGTAACTAAATACGATGCTTTCCATTTTTCAAGGGCACTTAGAGATGTGCCTGGCACTCGCAAACCACATTTCAAGCCATGTGATAATTATCTGAGTTTTAGTTTGCTTAACCCTAGATTGTCAAAAAATCCCCTAATATCTGTAAACTCTTTAAGTGAGGCTGAAATTAACTCAAATGAGTGACCTGTTGTAATTTAGAAGTACTTGTTATTAAAAATCACTTCACTAACAACTCAAATTTAGAAGTAGGAGGGAAAAAATGAATAAATCAGAGTTTTGGTGTTTTTTTAAAATCCTGTGTCCCCAGAGAGTTTGTACCAAATGAGTTCACCAAATTTATCAAAGCCAAATAATGATACACAAATGCAGGTATCTTTCATCTAACAGCAGGTAACGTTACCTGGAGCCAAGGTAATAGTCATGGCCCAAAGACTTCAGAGAGTCGTTCAGCCTGGATGTGGACCCAACCTCTCCAGGAACCACCGGTCTCGTTGCACACAAGAGGAAGAGGGCAGAGCTGGACCTCTCCGGTTCACGTTGCAAAATGCTTCCCCATTGGGATGAGAGCCAGGGGGCAGGGTGGGGACAGAGGAACAGATGCAAACAGGTTCACTGATTCAACTGCCTTTCCCAAGAAGAAGAGTTAAAAATTAACGCAAAGGCTGTAACCAGAAAAACATCTTTCTTTAGCCTCTACAGCCTGTGGCATCTGGTGTCTAGATACAGATCTGCATTTCTCTTTCCTAGTGCAAGCTATAAGAAAAGATCCATCAGCATCATTCCCTTTTCCCTTGAGCTGTTTTCCATTAACTCTTCATAAACACTCATGCTCTTTATTAATTAATTTCCTTTGCTGTTATTTATTAAAAGTCTTCTATTCCTACACTGATTTCAGATGTTACACCACGACAAACCTCTCCCCATAAATGTCTTAGTTTCCTTGGTCTACGGTAAGACCGTTAAATAAAACATTTAAGAGAAAAAAATTCATAATAATAATGAAAAATTAATTAAGTTAGCATCAATAATCATTTACACTATGTATAGGCAATAAAGGAGCTCTGAGGAAGACCACCACCCATAGGCATGCAGCTCTCCTGCCTGCCTTTGATCAACTTCCCTGGAGGGTTTAAAGCGGATAGATCAGTTTCTGAAGCACATGGGGTTTTTTAGTAAACACTCATTTTCTTGTAATAAAAATTAAACCTAAATGAAATGCAAACCAAAGTATGCTTATGAGATTAAAGACTCATTTTACTCTTTCAACCATAACCACCACTCCATCATGATCAGAAATACAAAGGTACCTTCCTCCACTGAGCAAGCCGCAAGATGTGGCTGCCAGAGGGCTTCATGACACATTCATGAGGATGCATGATGTATATATGAGCACGCATCAGTCCTCGTGTCCAAGAGCCAAGGAAGCAATTACCCAGGCTTGTTCATAGTCAAGGAGCATACGTGTGGAAGTCACCACTAGAGTGATGTGTTTCAATCTTTACATTTTTCTTCTCACATCTTCAAGGAAGAATATGATGAGACCCATAAAGCTAACTTCTTCGTTAGGAATACACTGTTGTCCTACAGGGATTTTCCACTCTCTAAAGAATATCAACAAAATTTGACATGTGACAATGAAAAATTAGTTCACCTTCAATACCTTGAATAACAGTTTTCTCTCTATTCAGAGAAGAAAGAACAGGAGGTTGAAGTACACTTTACTTTCTGATGTTGTATCAATCTTGCTTGATCCAGAAGGGCGGATAAGGGTGGATAACAAGGAGAGGGCTGCCCTGCCCTCTGCCAGGAGGCATCAGCCAGCAGAGCTGAGCCAAGGCACAGAGAGAAGCAGTCAGACCTCAGAACAGGCCAGCATGAAGCAACTTTCTTCCTGCAGAAAAAAGGGGGGAAACAGAGAGCAAGCTGAGATTTACCTGCAGGTTCAAACATCTGCTGTGGGGGTGAGCATGGCCTTATGCCTCCTCTTAAAAATTGTTTGAATCTAGCTTCTCTCAAAGCACGGCACTGATTTAACACAGACAAAACCTGCATGGGGTTTTTCATCTGCAGCCTGTGGTCTGCTTCAGTCTCCTTGTCATCTTTGGTCCCTCCTGGATGATGTTTTCCCTTGGTCTCCACATGGGCCAAGTCAAGCAGGATTTGGAAGCACAGAGTGCTGTAGGTTTGAAGTTTCAAAAAAATGCTTTCACCATAATGGTTGGTCCCTCCAACATCCACCTTTTTTTTTTTTTTTTTTTTTTACTATCTCCATCCTCTTCTTATAGAATTTGCTAAATCACTAATGGACAGAAACATCCCTAGGACCATGCTTAGCATTACAAGCTTCTCTTTCTCCCATTAGTCAGGAGTTTCTATACTTAGGCTTTCCCCACATCCCAGGATATTTATTTTAAAATGAATCCAGCAGGTGTTGTGAAGATAATTATGAATACCATATGACTTCCTTCAACCAATTTAGCTCTTGTAACGGCCAAATGCTGATCATACCCACTCTTGGAAATGCCTCCTCCAGCACAATTACCATGAGCCACAGCAACAGAAACCAAATAAGTGATCTTGTTAAAAATGTCCTTAGTGCCCAGCAAGGCAGCATCCCTGTGTAAGACTCTGTGTCACACAGTGTTGTTCTTTCCAGACGTTCTTTTATTTATCTGCAATTAGCTTCCAATGCCAGAGTGAGGGCAGGAAAGAGTGTTTTAGGGTGCATTTGGAATAACTGATGCATTAGGGGCTAGATCTTGTAATCCCTATTTGTAATCCCCTTCAGGCTCAACACAAAGAGAAGAGCCGAGCTGAGCACTGCTGGGAGTTCTCATATTTGCAGACTCTATTATAGATTTAAAATATCAAAAGCAGAAACTGAATGGACCCTCCTCAAACTACGGGTGGACAATTAAATAATCCCAAGAAGTCTGCCAGGAAGCAGACTTGTCACATGTAGCACCCCGCTGCCTTTTTTCACTTTCATTTCAACTAAAGCTGCAGGTTCATTTAATTATCTAAGTGAATAACTTAATGATAAATTCCATTCCATCTCTGACAGCTGAGTAATTCCGGAGAATTTTAATAGGGAATAATAAACTAGACTTTTTAAAAATTCACTTTGATTCCATCTCATCTTTAATTAAGTCAGTTCTGGAAGGCTTCAAGTCATAAAAGGTCATTGAAAGATGTTGGCAAATTCATCAATTAGCATTAAAGTCTAAAAAAAATACATAGATCCAATTTCAACATAGGTATTAAGGTAACCTTAAAGAAAACTGCATATCATTATCAAAGTATCACTATATATTAATTTGAAATGTAAAAATTACCTAAGGTTAATTGTAAAATAAATGCTTCTATTTTTAAATTGCCCTTCCAATAAATTTGCTTTAGCCAAAGTAAAGTAATGTTGTTTCCAAATTAGTGACTAAAACTTGATAAATAATGAATTTTCAGGGGATTTTGATTAACTTTAGAAAATGGTTTATCCCCAAATAAATCAAACTAGAAGTTTTTCTTTTCACGTTGTCACTGAGACAAGCAAACAAGAACACTCTGCTTGGAGTCAGCCTACAAAATTGACTTGAAAGGTCATTTAAATCCATTTATTAACATTTGCTGTTGGAACAAATTTTAAATAAGGGAAGATGTTGAATAAAAAGTCAATGTTTCCCATAGAAAGAAAGTCAGTGATTCCAAATAAGAAAGTAATTGTGCTTTTTCACTCAACTGAAACAATTCACTAACCTTGGTCTAAGTTCACAGCAGACATCCATTTTCTGGGGGTCCCTCTGTTGAAAACCATTCACCCAGGTCTAGTTAAAACCACTTTCAAAGAGTTTCCTCACCAATTACCTAAAAGCATTGCTTGAATATCATCCAAATTCAATGGAACAGATGAGAGTGGTGGCTATAAACCTCTACCAAAATGCAACACTTTTCTCATTCAAAAATGGTATCCTGGGTTTGACCAAACATCTCCTGGGGCATTGCCTGCAGCAGAGGTGAGGGAACTGAAGGCAGGGAGAAGAGCCAAGAGACCCAGGGCTCTATCCTTCCCCCAGCTCTCAGTCAGAAGGGTTTTCTCCACCGGTGCTCCTCGAAGCTCAAAAGAAGCCAGTGGAGTCTCCTGCAGCCATTAATCAGACTATAAAAGCATTAGGCTGCTTACTTCTTGGTAGGGTTGCCACAGAGACATTCTAGCAGGGGTGCACTGTTGGCTGTCGCTACTTTATGTAATGACAAGTGCTCATAAAAATAAATTAATATATTTAGAATTATTTTACAAATACATATGGGAAATATGCACTGCACCTGCTCTCACGGAATGGGACTGCACTTCGCGAACATCTTCTGGAATCGTATTTTCAGCCTAAATGGATTAGTACTTAAATTTATTATCTTCTTAGTCCAGACTGGATAGAACCAGAGCTGAGGTCCCTTGAGGAAACTTGTCATCCTCAATCGTCTCATCAGCCAAGAATAAGATAGAGAGCAGATCTCAAACTAAATACAGCTGTAGAGCATCCTAAGGACCGGTTTGTGCCTGACTTCAGGCCTGACGATCAGAAACACTCTCTTCTCCTGCTTCCCGATGAAGCGAGCTTCCAGCAGCTAGGCAAGCCCTGGCGAGTCTTCTGCTGCTGTGAAAATTGACTCCATATCCACATGCCTGGTGAAAATGTGTTTTGTCCTTGTGAGAACCCAAGGTCAGAGAAGGTCATTTACAAATTGTGATGACTTAATATAAAAATTAAAGCAGAACCTTGCACTGAATTTGCGTAAGTTTGGGGCTTGGGGATTTTCAGCCTGTTCCAAGAAGCAAGATTCCTTGTAAACTCCAGTTCAGACAAGATCCCTCATCATCAGTGCCATCCAAAAGCCGTGCAGGATTAGAAGCAAAACAATATCTGGAAAGCAACATTATTCATCAGCATTCCCTGCTAACGTTCCCATGCCTGGCTATTTCCAAATCACAAACCCTATCTACCTCCCAAAAAGAAGTCTGTCACAACCAACATGCAAAATCTGTGGGTCATTTATCATCCTCATGTTATTCTTCCAGTTTCATCCTTTGAACAGATGAAGCTGGCCAACGCTAAAGCAAGGACTATGTGCACAAGATCCACCCTACGCAGGAGAAGCTGTGGTCACCACAAAGGTGTTTCTTTCCGATTCCACAAAAACCTCCCCCTCATGTGTTGTTCATCCCTTTTTTGGGAACTAACTTCAGTCTGCAGCACAGGCCACATTGGGTTTGTCCTCTGTACCCACTGCCAAGAGGAAAAGGTCTTGCACTCTTCACTGCAAAAGCCAGCCCACAGACAGGGAGCAAAAGCCCAAACCAGACCAGAAGGACATGGGCTGGTGGTGTTATAGCCAAGCCCAGCAATGCGATGCCATGCTGCCACCCACACAAGTCAAGAAGACAATGAGGTGCCTCTTTTGAACAGATAGAAAGATGCAAGAGGAAGAGGTAGCACAACTTCATTCCTTGGAGCTTCCCTCTGAGCTAGTGGGTTACTCCT